ATTTCTAATGTGCACAAAAAATATATTGTTGATCAATAGTGTATTTTTACATATTATTAAATATTTATTTTATAATGTTTTTTATAAAGGATTTAGTGAAATATTAATTAATATATTATATAAATCATGTATCATGTAATTTTGTAAATTTTTAATCCTGCTAACCGATACCATATTTTTTTTCCATAAAAATAATGTCCGAAGTATAATATAGTACTTACACACTGGGTGCATTATAAGCAAGCATACAATCTTAGACCATGCTTGCGGATATACCCGATATTTCTAGCTACGTTTAGCTTTATTTTTTCTTGGTTTATTATTCTACTTTGGATGAAAGTGTTGAAAATTTGTGAAGTAGTTATTTCGACTATAAATTATTTTCAGCAGATTATAAATACGTACGTTTTAGAAATGAAAAAAATAAGATGAAANNNNTGTATACATCGGAGTTTTTATTGAGAAGTCAACTATACAATAGTTGATCTCAGGGATTATTACTAAGAGTTACATTCTCCTCTTAAGTAAGTATTTATGAAGTGCTCTTCCTTGGACTCTCGCAAGTAAGACTAAGTTCTTCGTTGGACCCTCTTACTAAGACTTCCTCTCAGTTCGATCCCTTGACTAAGACTAAATTATATAATACAAAAATGTGTTCATTTCAAAGAGGGGCTGCCTGGGAGAAAAGTTTTATGATCCTGCCCAAATATTTAGGGGCTAAAGACGGCTGTTGAGTGATGATACAATAAACTATGCGATTTAATGTGTAACCGTTCTTCGGAATATTCCACAAGTTATTATAAATTTTTCTTTCTTTAATTCTTTTTTACTGTAATGTTTTTGTATACGCTAATATTATTGCCAATCCTTATATATATTATTTCATGCATACTCGTATTATTAGAATCAATATTGACACTAAATATCACATCGTTTTCAATTTTTATTACTTTTCTTAAAATATGATTACACTGATTTATTTTCAGCGTATCTCTCAATACGGTGCTGTTCTGAAGATTATCAATGACAAAAATGCTTTAATTGTAGGATTTCCCCAGATTTGCAATAACACTTGTAGAAAACATGATATGAGATATTAAAAATATTATGTAATCATGTATTTTATATATAATAACACATTAAAGCAGTAATTCCGCTTTAAAAAAAAATCGTATTTTAATTGTTCTTAAGAAGACGATATATTATGTACAATGATGACAGATACACGGTGTGATTGATAATAGCTATTTGTAAGACATCACCAAAAAGTCAACAAGTGGATACTACTTCTTCTTACACATCTCCACTCTACTTGGATTGTGCCAGTTCCACTTAAGTGCTATTAGAAATATAGGACATACTACTTATTACCAGAGAGTCAAACCGAAATTAGTTTCTTTCTGGTTAACGGTTACGTTCCAAGTAAATGTTTATCGTTCCAGATTCGGTTTCGGTTCATCTAAAAAATTCGGTTCAGTTCCGGTTGAAATTAAAATCGAGTCAAATCTCAAATTTTAGTATAATTTTATTTACCAAATATTACTATTGTTTTCAATTATAAAATTAAAAATACAAAAGAAATAAAGTAGTTCAACACATGCACTTTCTAATATTTCTTCCGTTATATTTATAGTAATATTCTTTTTAATCACTTTCATTTCAGTTTGTTCTAACGTTAGTTGCGCAAGACATGTGATTGTTGTGGTGGTTGTTTGAAAGATTTTTGTTTTCAAAGTTTTTCATATTCGGCGTGATGAAAACGGGACTAATGCTTTATTTCTATTGATACTTTATTCCCACAGAATTCGGCCTCGATGGTTTTGTTTATTATATTTATGTGAAAAAATAATTCGGAGTATTCAAAGAGACATTGTGAATAGCTCTTATACATTGTTCGTTTATATCAGTGATTCCCAAAGTGGTCTATATCAACCCCCATGGTGTCTATGAAAATGGGGGTCCACGATAGTGGATCTCAACATACACTGATAGTACTTATTTACTTACATTATACTATCTTATAATATAAAGACATATACATTATTTATTAAAGTACCTATGAAGTAAAAAAAATATTATATATGTTTATAAAATTTAGCTTTGTGGTCGCAATACATTTTGAACTTGTAAAAACCTGCACATAATGATATACCAGTATCATCTTGTTACAAGCATGATAGAAAGCGATTTTGAATTAATTGAATAAAAAAAAATAAGTGAACCGAAATTAACCGTAATTAAAATTTCGTTCCGGTTTCGTTTTCGGTTTTTCAATTGAGCAATTTTACATTCCAGTTACGGTTCCGGTTCGACTCTCTGCTTCTTAGATAAACAAATATCATGTAGAAACGAGTCGACCGATTTGGATTAAACTTATTATAGTCACATACGAGAGCGTTGCTAATATTATTTTTAAAAATTCAATTTTTAAAAAGTACACTTAATATTTAATTTAAGATTATGTCTCATGCTGAGACTAATAGCAATTTTAGTTTAATAAAAGATCTGCTTAAAAGATTTGCTTCTGTCTCGTTAATTGAAAAAGAGATTATTGTCAAGAGACCGAAGCCCGCACCAATATTTAAGTATTCGAATACTTACACATCCACAACTTAAATGAGCACTTAAAATTATTCTGTTGTTGTGTCCAACCATTATTATTATAATTGTTATTGTTAATATAGTTTATTAACGAACTATAAACAAAGGGAACATTCCCATCGATACTCCCATACCTTTACTCCGAATTCAAGTCATTATTATAATGATCGTTACACGTACAATCGTAATCGATCATCTTTCTCATATAAACAAATGCATAGGATTTTGGCCCGGTCTTATAATAAACAAAACCACAAAGGCCGAATCCCATGGGAACGCTTAATCATCAATATAAACAAACCCTACTCCCGATCACAACTCCCACTCCGTGTTAATAAGAATAGACTTTGTAAGTAGAATAAGTATTTAGAATTAGTCTCAGTAGAACCTTCAAAGACTGATAGTCTCAGTAAAACATGTAATGACTAAGATAGTCTCAGCAGAAGGCCAAGTAACGAATAAAGTTATGTAAAACTAATTGAATTATTTAATTCCTACAACTGAGACTCCACAACGACAACGCCAGACAATATTCCGCTGTGTCCATAATTCCATCCCTGGGACATGACACTGCGACCATGAATTTTGTTTTTTCGAGAACAAAATGTCTGGAATAAATTCGGATATTCTGATCTAAACAATATCAGTAAAGCATGCAAGAGACACGAATGCTCTCAATCTTAAATATGCTCTCTGTACAATTCAAAAAAAGAAAATATAGTAATGCATAACAAGGAAGTTAATGCAAATCGATACATTTGATCGCAATTAATAAACGCTATCTGTTTGTTTAACAAAACTTGAACTACCTTTGCGATAAAATTTTGAGCAAATTAGAAAATAGGGAAAATTATGTTGAATTGCTATATGTACTCAGTGTACAGCATCTCCTGCTAGCTATAAAATATTGTTAAAATCATATAGTTTAGAACAACTTCGCTAAGTTGGCAAAAAAAAAATTAAATTATTTTATTTGAATATTTGTAATTTTCATCATTCAACAAACATTCCTCAAAATCGGCTTTTTGGAGCTTTTCAAGTTCGACTTTAACTGCATTAATGATCTTATCATTAAAACTGAAGACTCTTTCCCACATCCTTTTTTAATTTTCGGAAACAGCCAGAAATCACACGGCGCTAGGTCCGGAGAATAAGCTACTGGGCGAATTTAATAGAAGCCAGATAACGCAAGAAAGTTGTTTTAGAAAATAGCTACTGTCGTGTGCCGGGATGGAATATCTCTGGACACTGTGGAATAATTTGTTGTATTGTCGATGTGGAGTCCCAGTGGGTTTTATGGAAGAAACTAGATTAAAGTCAGTGTATTAATGTATTTATTTAACACTTAGATGCTGGTGATTCTTATTCTAGCTTCCAGTTGCTTCAAGCATAGGTTGCTGGTCAAGAGTAGAGTCAAACTAGAACTAACTTAAAATAACATAAGTGTCGTCTTATATGTAAGAAGACATCTTGAATACAGAATAATATTCTCCCGCTGTCTATAAGGTCTAAAGGCTGATAAATCTTACAATTGTATGAGGAGGTTAATTTTGGGCGTCATAGTTTTTATAGTTAGCTGCCCGATTTTCACATAGTGCCCCTTTCAAGAGGGTGACACAAATGGGTCGTAAAACTAACAAAATATGAGAAACAGAGCGTTTCTCCA